TGAGCTGGGTCCAAGAGCTGACTGAGCTGGGTCCAAGAGCTGACTGAGCTGGGTCCAAGAGCTGACTGAGCTGGGTCCAAGAGCTGACTGAGCTGGGTCCAAGAGCTGACTGAGCTGGGTCCAAGAGCTGACTGAGCTGGGGCTGAGAGCTGACTTGAGATGACTGAGCTGGATGAGCTGTGTCCAAGAGCTGACTGAGCTGGATGAGCTGAAAAGGTTGGGCAAGCTCAGCTCCAGCCATTTTCCATTCCAAGTGGATGATGAGAACATGATTTTCCTCCATTTGGGATGGAAGGATTTTGCAGCCAAACCTCCAGTAACACTATGTGATTTGTGTGCATAAAAAGCTGCCACACTAAAATTTTTGGGAAAAAAGCTTAGCTGTCCACTGTTGATACTATCAAAGAAGTTTTGTGATTCAGTGTTTTATTTTTGGAAATTTGATGATACAAAGAGAAACACTTGGCGAGTACAGTTACTGGCAGTATCTGATTCCAAATTTCCCTAATCATATTGCCAACTTAATCAACTGGTCCCTTGTTTCACCCATGTCTTTCATTTTGGGTTTGAAAATAGCTTGCCATGATAAGCATGTAAGTTAAACTTCTTTGCAAAAGACCTGTCAAAAACATAGCAGACCTTATTCAGTGCACAGCCTGCATGTTTTGCTGTTTTTATTTGTGATAGGATGTTACACATTCTTATATCTCAAACACTTTCACGATCAGGAGTATCTCTAAGTCAGCAGAAACATTAGGGGGTATCAAATATAACCAAATCCACCATTATTTAATAGGGGGTATCAAATATAACCAAATCCACCATTATTTAATAGAGGGTATCAAATATAACCAAATCCACCATTATTTAATTGACTGGTTTGAAAAAATCCACCCTTTTTTAAACATGTTGGTTCTTCATTTAACCCCTTTTGGGGCCCATTGATGCAAAAAAATATTTCTAAAAAAGTGACTGGTTTCTAATGGTGGATTTCCTATATTTGATACCCCCTAATTGAATGGTTTGAAAAAATCTACCCTTTTTTTTTAAACATGGCGGTTATTCATTTAACCCCTTTTGGGGCCCTTTGATGCCAATATTTTTTTTTTTTTGGGAAAAGTGACTGGTTTCTAATTGTGGATTTCCTACATTTGATACCCCCTATTAGGATAAAACTTATCAAATACTTGTGAATTTGAGCTCCATTAACCACCCCCATGGATTTATTTATATTTTCTTTTTGAATTGAGTATTTCTATCTAAAAATATTGTCTTCCACCCTTCTTGCAACATGCCACAAATTGTTTGCATGTATCAGTAGCTAGCCACCCCCCTTACCATTATTTGTTTTCAGCTGTAATTCTGATTGCACATTAATTATTTATTGCGATCATTAGGGGCAGAAATATAGGCAAATTGATCATTACATACTAGACTGGTTTTGCAACTATCCACCCTTTTTAACACATTTTGGTTCTTCACCTGACCCCATGGGAGACCCATTGATTGAAAAATATTATTCTGGATAATAATTTAGAATCAAAAAGTCTAGATTTTTGTTGGGAAATCTAGCCTTTGAGACTCTAGGTGTAAGCCACAGAGTACATGTCACAGTACTTTTCATGTACCAAGTAACTGCAACACCTGTACTTATTTACATAATTACTTATCCATAATGTTGATTACCTTTACCTCTTGTTATCTTATCATTATTATTATCTTATCTTATTTTATCTTATCCTTGTTGATTACATATAAGCTTAAATATTATCTTATCATTTAAATTACTTATCCATTATAGGGGGTATCAAATATAACCAAATCCACCATTATTTAATTGAATGGTTTGAAAAAATCCACCCTTTTAAACATTTTGGTTTTCCATTTAACCCCTTTTGGGGACCATTTATGCGAAAAAAAGTTTTTGGAAAAGTGACTGGTTTCTGATGGCGGATTTCCTATATTTGATCCCTTATATACATATCTGTTTTATACATAAGTAATTATCACTTAACTTTCACTCCTTTGTCCGTGAAATACCTGTACCACAAGCTATCCCTGTTCTAGAGTATTTTCACGGTCAAATATCATTACAAATAAATATGTACAGTGCCCTCCCAGTTGTTTATGGCACATGTATTTCTTAATTTAAAAAAAACTATCAATGATAAATTTCCAATTTTTTGTGGAGTGGTGGAATGAGGGATGATAAGAAGGAATATGAAACAAAACAAAAAAACAGAAAGCAAAATTCATTACATTTCAAAAAAATAAAAGCACCATTCAAATTTTTTATTTTCTTTAATAATTTTTTTAAAAATACAAAATCAAGTGGGGAGGGTAGCTGAGATGTGGTCAATAATGATTATGAAATAAAAAAAAGTAAAAAAATAAAAAATAAAAACAAAAAAATAATATTTGATTGGCCCACCAGAGGCCTCCACAACCAGGCACATCCGGTGGGGTTGTTGCTGCTGGTTGACCTGAAGATGGGGTGCCGTTGATGGCCGGGACATGGATGGTGTTTTGGGATGATTGGATAGGTGGTCTGGCCGAGTGGATGTCGGAGGAGACTCGAGAGCCAGCGACCTTTGAGTCCAACTGTTGCACGGGCCTTGAGCATTTTGATTGTTGACTTGGCAATCAGCTCATTGATGTGCCCGTCTTGAGGTTGTGTTGTCCTTGTATACGTTGGTTCCTGGTCACAATGAATGCAAAAACAAGAAAAAAAAACTCAGAAAAAGAAAAAAGAAAAACAAGACAAGACAATAGAAACACAAACCTGAGTGTATCAATGCTGTTCAAGGTACCAACCTTGACCTATATTGATGTTCTTCTGAGTATTGACTTGATTTGAAGGTCGATTGTTGATGAATCGGTGAGGGAAAGAGGTTGACCTGCATCCACACACTGCAGTTTAGTGCGCGGGTGCAAGTCAACTTGTGACAGTTCACCCCCAGACATAAACAGCTGGGAGGATACTGTACATGTATTGAATATTAAGTATTAAGTGTTAATATAATTACTACATTCAATACATGCACTGATCACAATCATGACTGCGTTATTAGAGGATCTGTTAAAGTGCACACATCAAGAGCAACTAGTACACAATTATGATGTTACTTACTGATCATGACAAATAATGATCAGTCAAATCAAATTATGTGCTCATTCTCCTGGCCAAAGCTCCCTTGATTCTGAGCACTCATTCTTTCCCTCTTTCAATATTCTGGAACTTATAATCCGTGCTCCTTTCACTGATTAATCCCCAGAATATTCAGACACCAGTTAACCATAGTTAACATTTATTTTGATACCTTACACATAACTCAACTTAAATCAAGCCTACTTATATTGTTCTTAAGCTTCAGTCAACAACTCAACTTATCCACAATATTCATAGCCTTACTGAATATTCCCATTAACAATATCTATTAATCTTCAACTAATTTTGTTAAAGCTGAATAAGTATTGTTAGCCCTTTCCCTTTGGGGAACCAAATCAATCCCAGGTGAGTCCTATCTAGAGATGGTTGCTTCACATCCAGATATCTGTTCAGATCTGGATATCCTCTCATAATTTCAGTGGAATCAGACAATTATGCGGAAATTGAGAGCAGATATCCGGATGCAAAGCGACCATCTCTAGTCCTATCACCCTGGATGCCTATTAATACCCAGTATTGATATGGATACGCTGTTGATAGCAAGCCTCTCAGTAAAGATCATACTGATAGAGTGAAACCTCCTCATTACAGGACTGGTATTGACACCCACTACCTACCACTTGCCACGCTCAAAACACTCAGTCAACTCATAGTAACAACCTTTCTACCAATAAACACTCAGGTTACTTACCCAGAGGCTGGCACTAGGCTGCTTATGGGAGGCCCACAGATATTGACAGGAAGTTATTCAGTATTGAGATACGGAGTAATTAAAACAATAATTCTCAAACATTTTGTGAGATAATTCAGCTTCCAAGTCCCACATGGTTAAGTAAGTCTTTTCAAAACACCTGACAATATCAATTGCTGCACATTTTCATTTTGAACCCATAGAAGGGTTTTGTATTTGGCCTCCAAGGACATACATCATTTATAGAACTCTACTCTTATACAACATTTATAGAACTCTACTCTTATACAACATGTTATCTTAAGGTTGAAGCAAATTGCACTTTGGCACATCTTTCTGGTTCTGAGCCTCTTTGAAAAGACTTTCCAGGAGAATAGAATTCAAGAAACTCAAAAATTGGCTTGGTAGATTCTGAAAATTTTGTTCAGAAGTCCTCCATGATTGAATTTACCAAGATATTTTGTAAGAATTGACTGCATACCCATTTATCAAACAGGCGGGATTATGTCCAAAATGCTATATAGACCATCTCTAAGCATTCTAAAGAATAATGATTGAACATTTCCAGTGGCTTATAGCATACCCAAGCAGCTCAGATAAGTCATCTGGATGGGGCTAACAGGGATAACTTTCCGGGATTGCCTTTGATAGGACTTCTTCCCAGCATCTGTACTCCTTGGCAAGAGTTGGCGGGAGTCAAGTTTCAACTGATCATGGGTTGCTCGACTGTTTCAGTGGAAGATGGGTACTCTACACGTATTTTGACTTGATGTAAAATGCAGCTCGATCAAAAGACCGATGGCAGTTCGACTCTGTGCTTATAGTGATAACGACGGCTTGCATGTTTGCTTAGTTTTATCGAAAGACACGGGGGAGTTTTATCTATTTTGATGTTTCCTTCGCTCTTTGACGTGACGTGTTGCGTTATCTGGAAGGATTGAAAGGCATGGGTTTACACAGAAGTGGCCATTCCTATGGCTTTGGCTGAGTTTTGTATTTTTGTAGTCAAGGGCCACGTGAACTGCTTTTTTGGTGGATGCTTGGCCGAAAAAGTCAATTTTAAACTGATGCATTTCCCAGACAAAACTGGGGCGAAAAGGGTAAACTGGAATTTAAACCTGCCATCGGTTACCAAAGAACGATCGAAGCTTATCATCCCAACAAGCTCTTGTTGACCATCCCAACGCCAAACCACCACCACCAACCAACCAACCAACCAACACCAACCAACACCAACCAACCAAGCAAACCTACCAAACAAAACCAGAAGCAAACTTGTCAAGATGGGTGATGCTACCTCCTACGACTTCTTATTCGTAAGCAGAGACATATGTATCACCACTCCGACTCGAGCCTGAAACTGATTCACTCTACAACCTTTCCATCCCTCTAGAAAGTCGTCCTCATCGGTGACTCGGGCGTCGGAAAATCGTAAGCTACTTTCATTCATCTAGGCTGAGACTGCGTACATAACCCCAGGCTGAACCTTGCTTGCTTTTTGATTTAACACATGTAACCAAACAGTAACCGTCAGTGACATACTTGCCATTTTTTCTTCATTGGAAGAATTCAACGGGATTGTTATCTAACATGAATGACTTACATTAATCCAAATCACATCAATCACTGATCAATCAATCAACAAGTACTCTCGCGATTTACTAGGAATGAATTCAACATGGATTCCAAGTCTACGATCGGTGTCGAGTTTGCAACCCGCAGTATCTCGGTCGATGGCAAGACGATCAAAGCGCAAATCTGGGATACTGGTCTGTCATCAGCTGGATCCATCTCAAGATTCGATTGAAACAACATTCTGACCTCGAATATCGTGTTTTGTCTTTGTCGCTTGTGATATAGCTGGTCAAGAGCGATACAGGGCGATCACATCGGCCTACTACCGAGGCGCAGTAGGCGCCTTACTAGTCTACGACATCTCCAAACACCCCACCTACGTCAACGTCCAACGATGGTTGAAAGAACTCCGAGATCATGCCGATAGTAACATCGTGATCATGCTTGTCGGTAACAAGAGCGATTTGAGACATCTTAGGGCGGTCCCGACCGAGGAGGCTCAAGCATTCGCCACTGAAAACAACTTGAGCTTTATCGAAACTTCGGCTATGGATGCTAGTAATGTCGAAACCGGTCAGTCACCCCTATTCATCCCCCTCCTCCTATCTTGATCCGTCTCCTATAAGCTGTTCAACTGGACCGAGCTGAACTGTTTCCTCTTTTTGTTGTATGTAGCGTTCCAAAATATCCTCACTGGTGAGTAGTGATCATGTCCAAAACTACTCTGATCTAACATAGAGTGAATACCGGACCGACTGGTTTGCTCACTCATTTTTTTTTTCTTTCACACTAGACATCTACCGGATTGTATCCAGTAAGGCCCTAGAATCATCAGCCGATGCAGTAGGACCCACATCGGGTTCCACAATCACTGTCACTCCTACTTCCGATGACGCCTCAAAAGCATCCGGTGGCGGCAAGTGCTGCTGATTCGTCCCATTCTTTTCTCTCCCACCGCCAATCTGATTATTCCCCTCAACCCTCTCGAATTGTTTTTCTCTCTCTCTCCTCTCTTCTCACCTCATTATGTTCTTCTTTTTTTTCCAAAAACAAACACAAAAAGAAAAACCAACAACCAAAAACAGCAATATGAAAGTTCCTGTTAAAATAGTCGAAAAACAGTTTATGTTGTGTTGTGGTGTGGGTGATTTTGGATTTTTCCTTTTTTTTTCAAGTGATCATCAGACAGAGAAAAAGATTATTTTCTCTGGGGTGATCTTTTTTTTTAGTTTTAGTTACAGTAGTTTACATACAAATTCATACACATTTTGATTTCAACTCTGATCAACCCACTTAATTTGATATAAACATGTTCTTCTATATATAAACTTGACAATTAAAATAAACTCAAGAGTGATTTTCACTTTTTTCCCCTTCTTCTTTTCCTTTTGATAATTCCTAAACATTTACATCTACATCTACTTTTTGATTTGTTATTTTGATCCACACAAACTATAACATACTTTGCTGATTGTAGATGAAAGTTTCTGAGCTGATTGATCACTCAATCCAGATTGATAGCTTGCTTGTCTTTTCATCCACATGAGCACCCTTTTGATTACACTTTTATAAAAAAACAAAATTCTATATCTTGTCTCAAGTTTTATGATCTTTTGTCTTTTTCTTCCTTCCTCTTTTTTTTTGCTGAAAAAAGATGACTGTACTCCAATTTTTGTTGTGATTTTGGTCCTACTAGTGGGTCTTCAGCTTTGTCTTGTATTCCACCAAGACACACAAGCCCAAAAGTGAAAGGCAAAGAGAGAAGAAACAAGCACATTCATATTTAGTTGAATGATACAAGAAAGAATCACTCAACTGCCACCAGCCATGACAAGCGGGGTATTACTTCAGTACTGACTGCTGTTGCGTTCCAAGAGTATTACATAGATGATGAATTCTTCTGTGCAACTATGCATGGCAATTTGGTTTCCCAATCCTTTGAAAAAAGGGTTGAAAACTTACTGCACTTTTCCTCAGAGCTTTTCCAAATCAACTGCCACATCCTAGCCTATTTCTTGAAGTGCAAATGAAGAGCAGTCAGCTAGCCTGTATGGTTTGTATGCTGCAAGACTCAAAAGTAGGTCTTGTAATCCTTTTTTTCAACAAATGGAGCAGGGCTGGAGAGGTTGGAGGTCAGAACCTCTGCCCTGATATACTATAAAATAAAAACATCCACTGAGCTCAATGTGCAAGTCCCAAGGCTACAGTTTGCTCCACTCAAAATTTCATAATATTTGATTCACTCACAAGTGATTTTGGCCTGAAAAACCCTCCCACTCCAGTCAACCTAAGGAGAACATCCTGTGGGGGTTCTGGGAGAGAGGATTTTTTTAACAAACTTAAGTTAGTCTCATAGCAGTACTCATGGTCAGAATCAACCTGGAAGATCCCAAATCATGATGGCTGTAAATGTCTGAAGCAATGGTATTTATATTCCTAGTCATGTGTTTTCTTACTTCTAGCAAATTATAGAATGAAATGAGATTATGTTGGGATCATGCATGAGTTTTCGAAACACAAGTGAAAGGATAATGATTTGTGCTTCTTTTATCTACAGATAAATAGTAAAAAATTAGTAAGTTGGTGAGAGGTAGGAGACAGTTTAAATATAGGGGCTTATGAAACATGAAATCAACATATATAATTACATGCCCAATTGTATTGTTAAACTTCTTATTGTATTTTTTCCGAGCAGTGATTATGTGTTGAGGTCGATGAAGAGAAATGTCTGTTGATGTATATGATGAATATTTGAGCCCCAATTTGGAGAAAACAGAAATAGTAGGCAGATATACTCGAGGACAAGTGCTGCTATATCATCATTCATCTTTATCATTAGATATTGTCTGTTGCATGTACTCCCGCGCTTCTTCTGATACACCTCTGTTTCCTAAAAGCAGTCTGAAGTCTTCCGATTTCGCATCACTTCGACCACTATTAGAGTATCGTAAATTTGTGAAATAGAATCCAAAGAGACACAAAAACATGTATGAGCTTAATGTTGGACCTTCTGAAGATAGGTGTAAGATGCTTACGGGGCTGTTTCCGATTTGATAATCTCAAACTTCCATATCAGATAAAAATAATGGCAGTGCCCAGATAGTGGTTCATAAGTAGTAGGGGAAAAGAGCAAGGAAGTTCAGACTTGGAATATTGATCTGGAAAGGCCGATCAGATAGAAAGATCTTAACAAACCCAAGAGATTGCCTTCAAATCAGGTACAGATCGTTTCATATTCTGCGAGAACAACTGTTTTAGCCAGGTGATCTTGATATCTCTTTCTGATGCTCCTCCACGCTCAGGTTGTTTTGTGGAGATCAAGCGAGTGAAAGGAGCTGATGTCTCGGCCAAAACGATCGGCTTCCCTTCTCCTTGCGATCCGTATAGCTAAGTTTTATACTCAGCATACAGGCCCACTAAGCCTCCAAAGACAGAAAACTCACCTTTGAAAATTCTTGAATCTTTTCCAATGCTAGGTTCTCTCTTGGAATCAGATTCCGTCTCCTGGTACCTAAGAAATCACCGGGAGGGTGGTTTCAGCCTAATAAGATTAAGACAATCCCGTAATCTTAAAATCTGGTATCCACTTACCCCCAAAATGATAAAATGAAAGCGCTGAGAAAATTTGAAGAATTGATTCAGTTTAATTATCCGAGCTGGTTGTCCGCCTTCTCAAAGAATCCCACAAACCTGCTATGTCCACGTAGTCGCTTCCAGGCCAATACTGCGTATAACCACCCTTTGTGGAATCAACCGAGTCCCCAAACCTGGCATTAGGTGCCCACATCATATCTACAATTAAAATTGATCAGGAAAGAAAGTATCATTTTAGTCCCATCTTTTTCAAAAGCCACTTGCATGTGTCCGGGGCTGCCCTCCGTACGGCAACAGATAAAGCTCTCCATTTGTCCTTAAACACTGCAAAAAAGGCCAAGATATTGGTTGAGCGATCGAATTTTGAGCAGATAAATGGGAATTGGAAGCCTCACGCCAAGGATTCATGCCCCAATTATACCATTGACCATTCATCTAAAAATACATCAAGAGATATTCACAAACGTTTTCTTGCGGGAAGATTCATTCCACAAACGTATACGCACTTCATGTCCAAAACGAAGCCATACCGTGACATTATTGCGATTTATTTCAGCCATTTTAGCCGCTATCCTGTTGATCTGGGAGATTAATATTCTCTGATAAGCAACAAGTGACGAGCAGCACTCAAAGACATCTTGAGCATTTTTAAAGAGTAGACCTGGAGCGAGAGGAAAAATTTCGAGAGATGAATACTCAACCACGAAAGGTGAAACACTCAATAGACCATGGTTTGGCATCAAAGCGATTTGGTAGACGGGCTTTCCAGGTAGCTTCAGCAGTGTGTCCAAGTGCTGGACCCGAGAAACATCATTAGACGGGGAAAAGAAATATCCACATCACATTTATAAGCTCATTCCAGTTTTTGGTAATGTAATTGAAAATCCCCATTTGGATGGACAAGCTTACCCAATCAATTTTTCTTAGTCCTTCTGCATTTCTATCAAGCTCAACATAGTCACCCATCTGTATAAAAGCAAGAGCGAGAAGATATCACGGTTAGGGGCTGTTTAATTTCAAGATGAGCAATACCAGTAGGGAGAAGGGAAGAAGCGAAACCAAAGTAGGGGACAGCTTACTATTGAAATGGGACGTGGTAACTTAGCATTGATCTGAGATGGTGTGTTAGGATAATACCGTTCCTTGAAAGCGGGTATAGCACCAAAGGCGATTCCATTCAGCTGTAGGTTAGAAGAATTCAATCCCAGACTGGGAGACCTATTTGCGTCGACTCCAGTGGTATAGATGGCTGATAGGAGCAGCAATACCTCCAAAAACAAAACCTCGACTCGCATGATCCACGAACTGTGCGACTTGTCCAGGGCTTTTTTTAGATGGGCCCAAATCTGGTAGGAGTTTGGTGAGACAGTGGTACCTGTGCTTGAAAAACCTCAAGTTGAATTGGATGGCTCTATCTATATAGCCATTATCAGACGCTCCGCCGTGAATTCTTCAGGAAGATGTTGTGCATTAGAAAGAAGAGAAAAGAAAACTATGATCAGCTTTCCGCTTCAGTCAAAGGCTCTGCTAGCACATTATGATCATGATTCGAAGCGTTCCGAACCAGAAGCAACTTTGTAATTGCAAAAGGAAGTGAGTTGGTCCTAAGTTTGACAAATCTCTCCTAGTGTGCGATTACATCTGCAGCGCATGTTGGTCCCCTGGCAGACTCGCAAGCGTGCACTGTCCCTGAGGAGGATGTACTTCTCAGTAATGGGCACAGCGGTTAGTAAATATTATTTTTTTTGCCAAGTCTATGGCGGCACAAGAGGAGACTTCTGTCGAGGCGATACACCGCACGTCGCAAGCGGGTGTTTTCGACTTGCTGGTGAGAAGAGAGGACACGCATGAAGCATGGTGTCATTCTGATCACAGATAAGAGTGAAGCAGAGGAGCGCTGATCGGGTTATACCACGTGGTGGAAGCCGACGAACAAGGGGTTTCGAATCGAAAAAAATATCTCAACTTGAAACCTTATTTCGTCCCCAGAGACAACCGATAATCAACATGTCGCCAGCGAATAGCCTAGCGATCGGTCGGTCCGCCTCCACCGGCCGAGCACGTCGTGTGCAGATGTACGTGGTACCTGAGACCGGAAGTCTCAAGTTGTGAAAAAGGGTGTGGATAGTCGGTTGTGGAACCTGAGTTAGCCGTAACCGGTTGGCTTCCTTGACCACGGCGGACTTCCGGTGATGTGCCATACTGGCTGTTGTCTTATCTTGTGCGATACGACTTGTGGATTTTCAACATGATCTTCGAGGAGCTGACAGTTCGAGTAGTCGGTTGTCTTTTTTCAACCTCGTCTCGTCTTCTCAACTTATGATCTCATCTCGGCTCTCAAGAAAAACTCAACATCAAGATCAATAATTGTCTTTCGGAATAAAGGGAATAAATCAGTATTTTCATGGGGATTATGGACAGATAAATAGGTAACTAAGTTGTCGGGAAAGAGCTTAGATAAAGAGGCCTATGGTGTATTTGTCTGCTTGAAGTACCTATTTTGTTGCATCAAAATTTATTAGATCAAACATATGTCCGCGTTAATTTCTGTTTTGTATCGTCTCGCAAGCTGCAGGGCTAAGTTCTTAGTTCCTTTGTCTTTGTCTTTGTACTTGCGCAATAAAGAGTGAGTCTGACTCAAACTAACACAGTGATTACTAAACACTGTGTTCCGGCGCTCTTACGTCTACTAGACGCTGTCGAAGATGTTGAGAAAATTAAATTCGGGATAGTTTGATAAGTTTTCGCTAGAGATTCTCGGGTTGAGACTATGGGGGGCAGGTTCGGGCCTCGGAGTCGGAGCGCGTTCTTCACCGGGATTGCCTATTGGTGGACGAAAGACTTCTTGATGCGAGCTGCCAGGCGGATCATACATGCCATCCGTTTGCGAGCTGGCTGCCGAATTTCCTCCAGAATTACCATCATTCGTAGGCTTTTTGTCGGTCATGGTGGCATTAATTTTGGAATTTTTGAGCGCCTCGTATAGGGGCACCAGAACTGTGCGCCTATCCGATTCGTTGAACGGGACCTTGTGTGCGGAAAGGATGTCCTGGAGTTTCTGTATACTTAACCGACTGGAGACTAAATAATGATCGTGCTCTTGATCAGAGACAAGCATATGCCAGAAGGTATGCACTTCTTTTGGATGTGAGAAGAATTTAGGATCACCTGGAAAGAGACTCTTGACTGATCCAACCTGAACAAGCAAGCAAATCAGCCAACGTGTGCTACTACGACTCTTATGAAGGATAAGCAGGTATCTATTTACAATGTGGAGTTCTTCGCAAGTGACCTCAAAAGCGACGGCCAGATCATTGACGAGCTACGTAGAATCAGTCAGACAGTAAGTATTCTTTAGATTTACTGCCATCTCTTGACCACAAAATCTGAGGCTTACGCTGTCAACTGCTGCTTGGCTTTCAAACAGTTCTGCACCACTTTCAAACACCTCCCTGTCGCAATCGCCAGATTGGGGTTTCAAGCGGATTACGATGAAAAGAACAATTAGAACCGCTCTTTGATGACAGCACAGGGTGGGTTGGCTTACCGAATCGTGAAGACCTGGTTGTCGGAAATCGCACCTCTTATGAGCGCTAAGAGCTTCCAAAGCTGAGCTGTACATAGATACATCCACATAGCGGGGAAATAGGTGTAAGAATAGATCACATGTCATGAAGTGAAGCTGATTTTCAGCCGTCCGAAAAATGGGCACCTACATACCCAGCTTGTCGATTGATTCGATACCCCGACGACTAGATGGAAATACAATTTTCGGTCGACCCTTGAGCGAGATGGATATTCGTTTTGGGGGATCGGAGTTGAGTTGTCGCAAAAAGTCAAGGATGAGGGCTTCGATTTTCGTCACACTAACAATATCACAAACCGGCCTATAATGTCAGTCTCAAGCAAGTTAAAGCATATGAGGTTTCGACTGGCATAACTACGAACACTTCCCCGTCACGCTCATCGCTCGACTTGACCAACACAGAGTCCAGATCCTCGTCCACCAAGTTTTCTCCCTCATCCTTGTCCATCGATTGGGCTGGGTCACCATCCACGGCATCTTCTACGCCCGCACTAGATGAGGTTTCTTCATCCCGAACCGGATCAGCTTGATCATCAAGACCAGATGCAGGAGTTTCAGGTGATGGGACCTCGGAGTGGTCCTCTTGGACAGAGGCACGAATGGACGAGCGGTTGCTCTCTGATTGGTCCTCTTGAGAGGAGGATGAATGGATCGAATCAGCGTCATACCAGCCGGTTATGCCTGTGGGATTCTCTCCAGGACCAGAACACCAAGAACATATCGATGAGCCATTGGATAAGTCTGACCGCTGCTCGGCAGAGGCCGAAGAATCGGCATCATCAGACATTCTAGTTTAATCTGGTTGGTAGTAGTTATGTTAATACTAAGACTAATTATTGCAGAATCGATCCCAAGTTGAGGGGATGAGGAAAGATGAGAATGGGGGCACTCGGAAGGTCAACTGGTTACATGGCGGGACCTCGAGGTTCTCGAATCCCCCCAAGATGTATGCATTCTGCTGGTCAGCTTGTCCCGGTTTTCCATCCAGAACAGCATTCGTCGGCAGTTGAATCTAGAGCGTTAGAATCAATCTGGATGATGTAAGACTGGCTTAGAGAGAGCTCTTCCTCAACTTGTATGTTCTTAAAGGGTACATTAAGTTAACCCACCCTCTCCTGTCCCCTCTACATCAAGCTCTCGATCAGCAAGACCAGCGACTGAAAAACTTCTGGCCTCGCATGAATAAGTTGATGACGACGCTTGTCTATAAAGTGTAACGACAAGCTCGAACTCAGTACAGCAAGAAATTTGTCAACTTTCTTAGGGGAAAGTGCTTAGAGCAACGTCCCCAGCGCGAGTGCTAAATCAGATTGCTAAATCACGTTAATTGGCATCTGAACAGCCAAAATTCGCCGTCACCGCGGATGCTCTGTGGAGAGCTATTTCATATTAGAACTCGTCGAAAAGGTCTATTGGGCCATGCCAGAGCGGACAGCCCGATACTATATTAGATCCCCAGTGCCAGAATCTCTGTTTTCAAAAAGCCCCAGCATCCGCCTTTGCGATCAAGCTTTCGTGAACTTCCAGCTCATCTCAATTAGCAGCACGCACAATTCAAAACCGGGGCGGAGTGCTACATCGGAAACGCAAGTTCTACAAAGGGGACATAGCAACCCAATTTCAGCACTCGCGCTGCAGTTGCTCTTAGATACTTAAGATTTAATGCTCTTCCGCGAAAGAACGTAGATTTGAAAGCTCGTTCATAATAGTTGCATGGAATGGTCTCCCCAGGGCGGTTGGTTTCAAAAATGAAAAAACTGGGGGTTGCTGCCATGGGTCCGGGCCAGTGGCGGGCTCTAAAATATCTCATAGAAATTTTAGCGAGCATTGAGGTCGGAGACCATGCAATCCGAATGTGTTTTGTTTAGATAGATAAATCGGTAATGTCTGGTGGCACCAGCAACCGTTTTGGAACCTTGGAAGTCGAGTCCGATGGCACGGCAGTTCGAAGGCAGTTCGGTGACTCAGTCTCTGCCGAGACTCGACACTAGGCCTTCGCGGCCGGAGGACCATGGCAACAAACTGCTATGAGCACCAACGTTCAAGTTTCAACCCCCCCGTGCCAGTGGTGGACAGGACTCGGTCCAAGAGGAACTCTATTTAGCCTGACTAGTCGGCCAGCGAAATACATTTTCCCTAACCCCTTCATCGAGCTACATCCCAATATAATCGCCAATATACTTAGTCATTATACATCACAGGAACATCCGAAATGATTGCACTTACAACCTTCCTCATTGCGATTAGCTTACTTGCCCATCTAAATATATGCGCCGACGAGGCTAAGGCCAAGGGTGTTACTTGCTTTAAAAAGCGAGTGACTGGTAAAGATTGTGGAACGTATGCTAAGTCTCCCAGATTGTATCCCTCCTTATGAATCCAGGCCAAGCCACTCAGCCATTTAAGGTATTTTCACTTACCTACTCTTCATTGGTTTTCATGATTTCTTCTTTTGTCAAAATAGGGCTATGCAAGGTATTGTTTATACTGATAATGCAGTCACTAAAGATGAAACAAGAATTAGTGTTGGATTTGGAAACTGCCTTGTGAGTCAATGATGTTTTTTTTTTTTTTTTAATTTTGGATGTTCAAAAATGATCATGTATGATCATCAAATCAATATCAATGCTAAAGACAATTTTGCTTTCCCTTCAGCTTGAGATTGAAACTCATGGTGCAGGGTGAGTAAAGCTACTTCTTCCAACCAATTTAAACCTTCTGGTTAGAAGCAATTAGGTATTGATGGAGCTGTAAATTTCCTGAAACCCAGTCCTGCCAAGAAGGATGACATAGAACTTGCCATACTTCAACTTTTTAGTCAATGTCATGAATTACTTGTAAGCAGTTTTGTTAGATGACATGGTGCCGTTTCTTAAACAAGTATCTGACCAGATCAAAGGTTCAATTTTTTTAGTCTGGAGAGACAAAGAAGGACGCCTTCACCATTGACATTAATCGTATGGGAACTCACAATCCTGTATTTGGCAGAGGTGTGCAAATTGGTGTTCCATACTGTGGTGTAAGAACAAAGGATGATAGTGTGGAAAAAAGCCCAATTAATCAAGCTGATTGTGTCAAGTTTGTTGCTTTGTTGAAAGATAAATAAGATTTTGATTGGCTTGTAGCTGAAAACTCCTTCTTTTCAAATTATTAGGGCCATTGATAGAATACCCGAAAACCCAGCAGGCTCTAAATTCCCATTAGCTCAAAGCAAAAAACCTTCCGGGGAAATCAGTGCAAGATTTGGAACATGTCATGTAAGTGAATATTCAACAAAATGGTGATTCAAAGTATAGCATGTGAAGCAAATTTTCATTGTTCCTGTTGATTTCTAAAAATTAAAACCTTTTCATATGACTAGGTTTATGTCAATGCAGTTAGTGGTTTGCCCATCACTCTGTAAGTATTTCATTCAAATCCTATAAAGAAGTAGTACTAGTAAGATCATCTCATGGTAATATCCTCAAATTTTTCTGTCCTTTTCCATTTGTGGAGCAGAGGTAAACCAGAGTTACAAGCAATGCTTCAAAAAATAAGAAATCAGTGTGATAAAACAAAACAGGTATGTTATTTATAATCACAGGTGTGTAAATTAACATGGGCTGAAACTTATTGAATTCAACAGAATGGTAGGTTGGTAGATGTAGGCGGCAGCATTGGGAAAAATGCAAAGATATACCTGGAAACATCCTTCAATAAACGTTGAAATTAGTGGGAAAAACTCTTCCTTGTGAAAGTAATCATTTTGATCTATATGTCACTGTCTAAAAAAAATAAATCACATGGACCATTGTAAATTACAGCAATTTTTCTCCTTTCTTTTCAAAGATTATCTTTACATTCCCAATCTTTTCTTTTCTGTAAATTGTTTCATACGGCCCCATTTTTTTTAGCAAAATTTAGTATTGTAATGAGTTAAATCGCCACAAGATTTGACACAATTGGAGTGGATTTCACACATATTACACTTGCACACAATGCTGAAAAAACCAGCTTAAATCTTTTATTTGTGATGATGTTATGAAGGAAAAATTCACAACATAAAACCACAATTGAATTTGGTCCAAAAGACTAAAATCATACAGTTTTAGTTCAGTTTTGGAAATGTTTACTGATGAAAGTCTGTAATCACACCACTACTCCCTTTTCTTGGCCAGCATTTCCCGTTTTGTAGGTCTTCTGCAACAAAAAAAAGGGGGTCCTTTAATAGTTTTATGAGTCCCCCAAAGACCACCAGCTTTCTGCGGCTACCAGAGGCTTGTACTGTTTCATCCACTTACCAGGAGGAATTCTCTTTGGGAAGTGGGTGCAAGATCAGATCACCAATAATTCCAGGTGAGATAGTGATATACCTGTCAGAACGCCAGAGGTCCTTGGAGAGCTTTGTCCATCTACCAAATTGCCAAGGAACCCAGAAAGCTGGTAGAGTACCTATATTAGGTCTGGAATTCTAACAAGCTACTACAACATTATGAGAATCCTTGAAAAGCCTTTTTTTGGAGATGTTGTTTCATACCCAGGTACCTGTAGCAGGTGCGGGTACCTGCCTCAAAAATCCAATATTTTGGACACCCGCACCCACACCCGCACCTTTCAGGGCCACCAGGGAGGGTACCCGGGTACCTGCAGGTGTGGAGGATTTTTTGGAGGCAAATATACCCAGAAGTCTCACCCTTGAATTTCTGCATGACTTACTAAATATATGATTGATATTCACTAGATATATGGGTAAGAGTAACATAGAAATAAAGAAATAAAGAAATAAAGAAATAAAGAAAAACAAAATATTCTAGCACTAATTTGCACTTTATCTTCTCTCTGATCTATTGTCTCAAAGGCCGGAGTGTTCCCTCTGGCCTCAATAGGCCCATGTAGGACAGAAAATGGTGTCCTACATGGGTTGCTGACACCTTTGTGCAGCCCAAAACACCCAAAAAAGGAGTGTTGGACCGCTGATGACAATTTCAATTCTCATGGGAAGCATTCCCAGGGAGGGTGTAAGGCAGGTACCCGTGTTTCCCCAAAGGTCAACAACCACACCCACACCCACACCTGTTTTCCAAAGCGGGTACCTGCAAATGGGTACCGGGTACCTGAAAGTGGGTACTGGGTACCTGGTGACATCTCTACCTTTTTTTGCTTTCTGGAGGCTCCCAAAAACCTGGGTTGGTAATCAAGCTCCAACTGTGCCTATCCTAGCAAGATGATACAAAACCAGCTTTCTAGAAGTTCTCATTGATCTGAGAGGAGCACCTCCGGCTTGCTAGAGACCTCAAATATGTCCAAACTTCCTGTGCAGGTGCATGCACCAAAACCTGCTTTTTACCAATTCCTCAATATGCAAATTTCTGCTACCTGAGTAATATTATGCTTTCCAACATGTGATTGATTAATGAGGAAAAAAGGAACAAGGTAGATTGCAAGAAAAAAATGGGAGTTGTGGTATGAAAAAGATGGTGAACATACATTGAGTTTTGACAAATACAGTTTATTTTTGTATAAAAAAAGAGTCTATCACGAGTGAATGAATGTACAAAGAGGAGTTTTTGATTCTGAAAGGTTTTATTCTGTTTGCTCTACTGATAACAAATGAAAGTCAGGTGCAGGTTGCCCAGATTCTCCCCGAATAAGGATGGTGTTTTCATTCCCAGGCTATCAAATTAATCAAATTGGCTGGTCATCAGATTGGATGTACAGTGCCTAGACAGTGAAAAGTGGCTGCTTATTTTGGATTCCAGAGCTCCAAAACACAAATTTGAAATCATGAGACTTGGTCAGTTGGTGAATAATAGGTCCCACAAGATGAATATGAAATAATAAAAGCAAAGAATAAAGTTTCAAAATTTGTGAAAAATAAAAAATAAAATTGATTTTTTTCAAAAGCTTTGATATTCATTTTGGGGGAGTGGGAGTGCTGAGAGAAAGAAAGATTGGGAAATGAGAAGAATGATTATAAAGGAAAATCTTGGAAAAACTGGTTTTCAGATGGCTTCAAACAGCTGTTGAGTGGGGCATTCACCAGCCCACATTGCAGCAAAGCGCTAGAATTTACTGTTTTGGCTCCAATCTGGACCACCAACCTGGCTAAACCTTTTTTGGTTCCAATTTTTTTCATTTATAATCATTCTTCCCACATTCCATTCTTTCTTTCTCTCAGCACTCCCACTCCCCCAAAATGAATATCAAAGCTTTTGAAAAAAATCAATTTTATTTTTTATTTTTCACAATTTTTGAAACTTTATTCTTTGCTTTTATTATTTCATATTCATCTTGTGGGACCTATTATGCACCAACTGACCAAGTCTCATGATTTCAAATTTTTGTTTTGGGGCTCTGGAATCCAAAATAAGCAGCCAATTTTCACTGTCTACCCACTATACAAAAGTGTGTGTGTATCATTTTTTTCAAGACTCACTTTTAGTGGAAGTGACACAAGAAATCCTTCAGCCATATCATCCCAAGTCTGTGAAATTACAGATTTCAAAGTACAAATCCCATGGAAAAAATCAGTCTCTTAAGTTAGATGATGAGGAAATTTTTTGTTGTGAAAAGTAAATCACTGACCAGTCCAGTGATAGGCATATCAGAATAAAATGGAATTTCATTGTTCCCATTTATAACAATAGAAGTGTGCTTGAAGTTCAATTTTGAATCATCCATATTTCCTGGTGAAAGCTCAGCATTGATATAAGCAAATTTGACTAGAGTCCAACCACTTTTTGATCCAGGAACATTATTCCAGCGCAATGCACTTTTCCCATCAGCCTGGAGATTTGATACCACTTTAACTCCACGGGAGGTTGATCTAATTTGTGCTGAACCAATCATCTCAGCTTGTTCAGCTGGGAAGGTTATGAATTTCTTTTCAGGAGCTGGCTTAGTTTCAGTTAGCTTGAGGAACAAGCTTCCATGCGCCTCAACTTTGCTGGTATAACTACATCATTTCAATTTTCATATCACAAATTTCAATACAAAGGTCAACCAATATGTGACACTTAATTATCAAACCAGAAAAGACTTACACTTCATTTATTACCCCCAGGTCCTTGCCAGTCATTACATCAAATATGTGTGCAGATGAAAACCCCAAATCGTCAAGCCTGATATTTTTGGTTGTGGCATCATTTGACCAGCTTATAATTACTGCAATTGAATTGATATATGCAGGTGAGCTTCACATTCCTTCCAAAAAAATAATAATACTTGGAAGGTTGATATTCTTACCTGCAACTGTGTTTCCATCCTTCAAAGGCCCACTCCATACATCCATATCAGCAGAATATCTGTGTTTTAAGGTTATGGTTTGGCCTAGATCATCTTGCTGTGTAGAAATTAAAAATTTGTCAACATTGTGTATGTAATCATAGCAATGTATTCTCACATCAAGTCATCAGGGTAAAATTATTACTCACATTTATAGCAATTGCCCCTGGATTTCTCAAAGTATCAATTTCAGCTTGTCCAAGGCGGGAGATGTCGCTTGAGAATATGAGGGGAGATCTAAAAAGTTTGAAGAGAATTTTTGAATGTCTTGAATCTTTAGTTTCTGATGGAAAAAAGGAGGAAAAGGAAAAAGAAGAAGGAACTAACTTTGCCGCTGCCCAAAATGAAAATTGAGTGATCTTCTCAACCATTGATAGTTTATTCTCACCCACTTGGAGCCATCCAAGGTCATTGTATGGACCTTGATTCTGTAGGGAATATGGGTAAAGTGCATTGATTGTTCTGATTCTTTTCAGACATAAAAAAAACCAATTCAGCTGGAATCAAAACAATACAGAAATCTCATTCTTAATCTCACAAGGAATTCCAGCTGTCAACAGTATCATCTGCTATTCTCTGACTGTTGACTTCAGTCTTGGTGGCTTTTGGTGAAGCACCCCACTGTCCAGTGCTATTTGTACCCAACCTGGTCAGCAAAATAAGCCAATGGTGATGATCAATGACAATCCAGCTCACGCATAAAACAGTTTATTCTGGAAAGCATGGCGGCTTATTATGTTTTCCATTTCAATGTAGCGTTCCTGTTCTCTTACAAATCATCAGCTTTGTATAAAATCCCAAAAGGTTACTAGGCTTGGACAAACATTCAATTCTGTGGCCTTGTCAATGTTTTGCAATCTTTCTGGTGATGCCCAGTCACAACTTCAGTATTGAGTACGGTGCATAAATTTCAGCCTTATAATTCCCTACTTTCCAATTTTATCAAAAATATATCTGAACGCACGGTCTGTGTGAAAGATAGGCAGCACCCCGAACATTGACCAAATAGGTTACATAAGCATCAGGATAGCTCAAAGGCTTCACACCAGATCCCTCATCTTTGGTCCTGGGGCATATTTGTTTCCTGTATGGTTTGTTTGTATAAACAAAGTTAAATTCCTTTTCATTCACATTTTTTCTTCAGAAATCAAGACTGTTGAAAAATGAGAACTAACCCTCCCCATGTGCCAAGACCAAGACCCAGTCCTTTTGGGTTCAAATTTGCAGCAAGAGTATCAGGCTTATCCGGCAATTGTAGGCTCCAGTTGGCTTTTTTCCAAGGCTTTTTATTGATCACAGTAATTGATCATCGGAATCAGGATTCACGGTTCAATCATCGTTTGAAAATACTATAACCACTTACTCTCCATTCCACCTTGTAATCCTCCTTTATCTTCAGATCTCTTTCCCATCCACATTCAACTATAAACGTTTTGTATCCTGCTTTAATGAATCCCTTCTGATCCAGCATGTCTGCATGCCACAACAGATCCTTACGATTTACGTTAGCCCCACAACCCGAAGGGTAGAAAGAGTTCCACCCCATTACAGCTAATGTAGAGAGGATGTTTTCAGTCTCAGATTTTTTTGGATTATGTGTCATGTACACTCACGTTTGGGCCTTGGTGCTGGAGGACCATCACGAGCTGCTAGTTTGGTGGGGGTTTGATTTGTATATGCAATATTTAAGCTAACAAAGATTGCAACACCAATCCATTGCAATCTCCCAAATTCCTGATGCATATTTGGCCGAAACACAGGATATTTCCCAAGGAGTGAACCTGCGGTTTGAAAAGATGTGTGGCGCTTGGAAATCCCAATTGCCCTTTGTAACGGTGCTTGTTTAGCTGATCTATAAAAGCGAGTAGATCAGGACCGGGTATCTGTAGTAATCGCTTGTGCCTTGGAATGGCAACTATGTAGTTGTTAATCCGAGAGGATGGATAATAAAGATGGATGGAAATTGCCAATGTAAGAATTCGGAAAGGATGGTTTTGCAACGTGATGTGGTCGACAACAAATAGTGGAAACGTCAGTAGTATATCTAAATTAATTGTTTGAAATCAATATGCTTCTGAGGAGGTTCTTGACAGCCAGGGCTTTTGAAACCGATTTGAGAATCAAGGAAAGATGTCCAGAAAGAAAGTGAACTGTCCGATGAACGAGTTGGTAAGAAATCCGCGATGGGTGAGAGAGAAACAAAGTGGGGGTAAGAAAAGCAAGCGTGAACCTGTAAACAAGCAGACAAACCTACGCCTTATATGGAAATACTTGATGGAACACTGGAAGGTCTCCGCATCACTCGGTATCCCAGCTGACTGCAGTTGCTTGGGTCTCGTTGCGATTATCAAAGTGTTCACAAAAGGAGTGATTGGAACTTGGGGTAGGCCTATCGATGTGCTTGACCAAACCTTGCGCTTCGGTCGACCTGGTCTCCGAGGTCGCATTGCACCTTTGAGCGCAATTGAGGATTAGCCTAGCTTAACAAAGCCCCTCAATTCGTCGGGCCAGGTTGCCTGGCAGGCGCAAGCGCCCCTCCCGAAGGAGGGGCTTGCCAGGGATGTCGGACATTTCAGCTGTGAGCTTTTCAACTTTTGGTGGTAGAATATATTGCCATGATGTTTTGGCCTGCGCCTTGCCCGATGAAATTTCCGACTCGTTCAGCTTGCGGACCTCTCAGACTTCTCGACCTCGCAGCGCCCTACCCTGGTTTTCAGGCCAAGTCCGTCTTTTCAACACTCCCCCTTTCTCCCCTCCACTCGCACCTACATACAATACCAGTGTAAGGCATGGTCCCGGGGTTCGGGACGGGGCTTGAGGTCCATCCCGAGGAACGAGCCCCGGGGTTCAGGGCTCAAACCCCGGAACCCCGGGGCTTTGAATACTTTTTTAAATTTTTATTCTTGCCACATCAACGGTCACACTCACCAGTGCACCACTTGGATCCCTACCAATTTGTACTGCCACTAAAGAGAACCGCTCCGGACCACGAAGTAATCGATATTGATGAGATTGACTCCGAGCAGCAAGATAGCCAATCAGGAGCGAACAAGCATAGTTTCGTCTGGACCCATTTCAAGGACAAACCGGGCACGATGGAAGCGGTCTGTCAAGTCGTTACCAAGTCAGGAGCAATATGTGGTAGGTCTATCAAGAAGGACAAGAGCTCAAGCACAAAACCATTTCACACCCACCTGTCAAGCATCCATCGAATATCCGACCCACATCTCACCAAGAAAACCAAAGTGAACCACATCGACATCAAGAAGTGGAGCCAAAGTGGAGCTTTTCAGCCCCAGGTAAGCCGGTTTCAATTTTCAAAAACCTTTATTTATTATTATTTATTGATTATATTTTGTTATTCATCATTTTAATGCAGGTTGAATTGAATAGCAAGACACTCAGGTCTGCGCTTTGCTATTTGATCGCCGATGCGGATCTCCCTTTTGCTTTCGTTGAAAGGAAATCGTTTCGCGATCTCGTCCGCCTCCTCAACAAAGATGCGACGACATTAATCAACAACATCAACCAAAAATCAATTGCCACACATGTGACTTGAATGTACGAAGAATACGAAAAAACAATTAAAAAAAAATACTTAGAAAAACAAATCTCGATCTCATTCACCCAAGATGCCTGGACAGCTCCGAATGTAACTGCTTTTATGGCAGTTACAGCACACTTTGTCGATGAAAAATTTCAACTTCAAGACCTCACCCTCGCAGTTCCACACGTGGAAGGTAAGTTTTTTTCAGCTTTAGCTTTATTGTACCTGAAAAGCTCAATCTGAAACTTGTCGTTCTAAAGGTGTACAGAGTGGCAAAAACTTTGCTGAAAATTTCTATGAGGCTCTTGATCGATACTAGGCTGTGGACGTACTTCATACAATTACCGCCGACAATGCCTCAGTTAATTATAAGATGGCCCGCGAACTCGACTTTCAAATTCCTCAGTTCAAAAGCTCAACCCAAATCCTTGGGTGTGTGGCCCATGTTATCAATCTCGCTGCCAAAATTGGGATTGGTGCCCTGGGATCGATCAATTATGAAGACGAAGGACGCATAATATCCATGGCTGATTCCGATGTGGAACCCGAAAACTCCAACACGAATAATCCAATGAATATTCGCTCGCTTGTCTCACCCCCTGATGGAGCTGGCATCAATATGCAGACTATTCTCAAGAGGATCCATGGCCTCTGCACCTGGGTTCGTTTCTCACCTCAACGAAGGGAGAAATTTTCAGTCGATGTCAATTACTGCCAACCCGAAATGATTGCAAAGAAGATCGAATGTCTTGAGATTGATGTTCCAACTCAATGGAACTCAACTTATTTGATGTTGAAGCGGGTGATTCTACTTGAAAAAACATGTACTCATTTCTGCAATCGTAATGCAGAAGTCTCAAAGTTCATCTTATCACCGGCCGAATGGGATCAAGCAAAAAATCTCACTAAACTACTTGAACCTCTTTACGATGCAACCATAATACTGTCTGGCTCACAGTACCCAACATTGAACAAAGCACTTCCGGTTTATATAGTTTTAATCAAACATCTCGACTCGGTCCAGCGAGGCCTTTACAACCAATCGCAGCTCATTCCTCCTGCCCTTCAGATGATTCAAAAATTCAATCAGTACACCCAGGAAGCCCTCAAGAAACCAATGTAGGTGTGCGCCATGATCCTCGACCCAAAATTCAAGACTTCTTTCTGGAAGAATCATGAAGAATTCATTTTAGATCGATACGAGTTGTCTGTCAAAAACGTAGAAGACATATTCTTAAAAGAAGCCCTCAGCTTCGAGGAACATTTCACCAACCATTTCAATGATCCGTCTCAGAAATCAGTTTCTGGTCAACCAATGTCTAAAGGCGTCCTCTCCTCCGCACTCTATCAGCCGGCTCCCAACATTCAAGGAATTCAGTTGGAAATCCGGCAACACCTCAATGAAGATATTGAAACTGCAGATGTTGCTGCCCTTCCCTATTGGGCCGCCCGAAAGAAATCGCTTCCAAGATTGTCTCTGATGGCACGGCGATACCTCTTGATCCCAGCAACAAGCGCATCATCTGAGCGAGTTTTTTCTACGGGCCGCCGCATTGTCTCATGGCAGCGATCTTCCCTCAAACCAACTACAATCAAAGGACTCTTGTGTCTCAAAGACTGGTTCAAGGCCTTTGATGGGCCGTTTTATTTGTTTTTTTTTGTTTTCTTTTTCTTTTCCTAGTTATTTTTTTGCTTGCTTTCATGATTTTTTGTTTTGTTTTGCGTCTCTCAGAAATTATAGCCAAACCCCGGGGTTCCGGGGTTTTGCTAAGCTTCATCCCGAGTCCTGAACCCCGGGGCTTGGACTCGGTAAAAACCCTGAACCCCGGGTATCGGGGTCATCCCTTATACCAGTTTACTACTCCACCAGACATCTTATGATATTAACAATCCTCAAACAGTGTTCCTACTGTCATGACTGTTACAAGAACTTTGACTTTTTTTTTGGATTTCATTTATGCTGACTCTTTTTGTATAACCAAAATTTCTCCATATTTGTGTGTTTGAATTGTTTGTTTCTCTTTCATTGGAATAAAGGTTACTAGTGTCTAAGGGAGGCTTTGCCGCCTGTACAGGTCCAATATTATCCCCCAATCTAGGATCATTTTTGACTGAGCCAATGTATATATGTTCTAATCTACAACAATGGGCTGACTATCTGCTTTAAATATACCCCTAATCTAAGCCTACTACCCAGCGGTCATGGCTTGGGCTAAATTTCATGTTTCTAAGCAGAAGCTGAGAGGAAAAGGTAAAGGGTAAAAACTGTAGGAATTTGAGATCAAATACTTTATTGCAACTAATATCCAAAAGCTAATAGTAGTAAAAACTTGAAACATAAGAGAGAAACAAAACAATTAAGGCTAAGATTGAAATGAAGAAAGAAAAAGAAGATGAAAGATAGTGGTTCAAGATGATTATGGTTCTCAATTGGCTGTCCATTTCTCTGGGGCAGAAGCGTGCCAAGTTTTAAGTTCAAGATTTCATATTGAATATTGACCAACGATGTGGGTCTTATGCATCGTGCACTGCAGTCACCGGAACCACTTTTTTGACACTCCTCCTTGGTTCTGCGTCTGAAAGGTGCAGTTGCTCTCGAGAACTCTCAAGTTTGATGAATCCTAAGGGTTTGGTCAATCCATCGGCAATCATGTCATGAGTAGATACTTGTAACATGATGACTTGTTTATTCTCGACTAGCTGTAACACATATTGAAATTGAACTTCAATGTGTTTGGTGTTCTCATTCAATTTGGCCTCCTTACTGATCGTAACTGCTCCAGAATTATCATTTTTCAATACTGGGGCCTTTATTTTTATATGAAGATTGAGCACCAGGTTTGTAAGCCATCGTAGTTGTTTGGCACATCGATTAATAGCCACAAATTCCGCTTCCGTAGTTGATTGATCCACTATTGGCTGCTTTTTTGTGGACCAACAAATCAGGTTTCCATACATTGTGATTACATAGCCCGAGGTTGAATTCTTGAAGACCAGCAATGTCGCATAGTCTGCATCAGCCCACCCACAGAGACCTTCTTCAGGGTCCAAGGTTTGTGTGTAGTGAATGCCCATTACCGGAGTACCGCGTAGATACTCTAATAAGTGTTTCACCGCCAACCAGTGTGATTCGTTGGGTTGACTCGTGAACTGTGCCAAGAGATTGGTGGCAAACGTTATGTCAGGTCGAGTGTGTAGCGCTAAGTAATTCAACATTCCAACAGCCTTCTGGTATGATTTCTGATGAAATGGGGGAGCATCAGTCGCAACTATTTTATGTAGATTCATCGGTGCCGGCGCTCTGACTGGATTCGAGTCTTGCATATTGAAATGGTACAGTATCTTCTGTATAAAATCCGCTTGATTGATATGGACCAAACCATCCTCCTTCCAGTCAAGTGTATAACCGAGGTGTTGCGACGGCTTCTCCTTGACCTTTATGGTATAAACCTTACGAATATCGTCCAGTAATTGCAGTACAGAGTCCCTATCCTTGCCAACAACAAGTCCATCATCAACATGCATGTGTAAGAACACCAATCAATCTTTGTCATAGAACAGTGACTCGTCCAGCGGTGAGAATTCCAACCCAAGTGACATGAGCGTTCCGACAAGATGCTTGCGCCATTGACGGGGGGCCTGTTTTGTACCATACAGAGATTTATTCAATTTCCAAACCCAGTTTTCCTTGCCTGGTTCCTCAAATCCCTCAACTTGAGACACGTAGACAGGAGCATCGATTTCACCATACAAGAAAGCTGTTTCCACATCAAATTGAAACACGTGCCACGAGCAATTCACAGCCACCGTAAGCAGAAGTTTGAATGATTCATTTCTTGCCACAGATGCATACGTATCGAAATAATGAACCATGTGAACTTGATGATTGCCGAAACACACCCATCTAGCCTTGAACCAAAGCAATTCA